CTGTGGGGAGAGAACAGGCAGTGGGATTTGTTTGGGGATTGATACAGAGCAATGGGGAGAGCGTGGGCAGTAGGATAAGTGTGGGATTGATACAGGCCTGTGCGAAGAGAGCAGGGAAGTGGGATTAGTTTGAGGATTGATACAGGACTATGGGGTGAGAGCGGCGCAGTCAGACACATTTGGGGATTGATGTATGGCCCGGGGGAGAGAGTGGGACAGTGTGCTTAATTTGGGGTTGATAGAGGGCTATGGGGAAGGGGGGTATGGCAGTGGGATTAGTTTGGGAATTGGTGCAGGACTATAGGGAGAGAATGGGACAGTGTGATTAGTTCGGGAATGACACAGGGCTATAGTTAGAGTGTGGAGCAGTGGGATTAGTTTGGGGTTGATACAGGGCTATGGGGAGAGCGCACGGCAATGGGATTGTTTTGGGAATTGATATAGGGCTATGTGACCAGGCAATGGGATGAACAGCAGGATCCCTGTTTGACTGAGGTGCCAAAGGAGACCATTTGCCTCCTCCTGTCTGGCCCGGTTCTCTGAATGGGCAGTTTGCCTAGTGCCACTCTGCCGCCCTTTTACTCCCTCCTCGCCATGTCCATTTTATTGGCAAAGCCTCAGTTGAAGCTGTGTTCCCAGGACACTCTGAGACAGCGCTTTCCAGATCCTGTGTGGAAAGAAAGCTTCTCTTCATTTCTGCGCTGCTTAAATCTGCGTTTTCCGGGTCTCGATCCAACAATGGGTGCCGTTTATCTCCTTTCTCCTCTGCCCTCCTGGTCGTGGACACTTGTTCAAATCTCTTCCCTTCCTTCTCGAAGGAAGTTAGCCCTGACTTCTCCCCTCTCTCTCCACATAATCCTCATCCGCTGGGACTGTTCTTGTAAATCTCTTCTGCATTTCTTTATCGCCTTCACAACTTTTCTGAAGTGTGTTGCCTCGAACAGCTGACAGCGATCCAGCTGAAGCAGTCCTCAACACAAATCTTTCATAAATCGCCTCGTCTCTTATTTAAGTGTCTGAAACCTGCACTAAGTGTGCACCACATTCCCCTTTTGTTGCCCATGGGCTTGGTGGCAATGGTCTGCTTCCTTTCCCAAGTCCTGAGTCAGCTTTCCATTTAAATTTCATGCTCCTCTCCTGAGTCTGGGACCAGGAGAACACTGAGGGACAAAATACTTTCCTTTAGGGAAGGAAATCTGCCACTTATGACTCCAGAGCCACATTATTGTGTCTGGCTCTTAACTACCCTCTGGGCAATTATGATCATCCATCCTTCACACCTCATAAAGAAAATGAAAAACAGCTGGGGATGATAAGTGACAAGAAATATTCATGCTAAACAGATGCCAAATAATTACTATCTCCAACAAGAGGGAATCTAAGTACTGCCACTTAGTTACTATTGCTGGTTCCCCCACTATCAATATCCTGGGATATCAACATCCTGGGGGTTACTTTTGACAAGAAACTCAACTGGACTCGCCACATAAACACAGTGGCTACAAAAGCAGGTCAGAGGCTGGGAATACTCACCTCCTGACTCCCCAAAGCCTGTCCACTATCGACAAGGCACAAGTCAGGAGTGCAATGGAAAACTCCCCACTTACCCTGGATGGGTGCAGCTCCAACAACACTCAAGAAGCTCAACACCATCCAGGACAAAGCAGTCACATTTTATTGGCACTACATCCACAAGCATCCACTTCCTCCACCATTGATGTTCAGCAGCAGTGTGTAATACCTACAAGATGCACTGGCGCAACTCATTAAGGCTCCTTCAAAGCACCTTCTAAATCAGGTAACCAATGGGACAGCTGTAGATGTTTGCAACTAAAACACTGCCCTTAGGAACTCCTGCAGAGATATCCTGGTGATGAGATGACTGACCTCCAACAACCACAACCATTTTCCTACGTGTCAGGTATGACACCAAGCAGTAGAGAGTTTGTCCCTGCTATGCAGGGATTCCAGTTTTGCTTGGGCTCCTTGATGTCACACATGGTTAAATGCTGCTGTGATGTCAAAGGTTGCCTCTCTCATCTCAACTCTGGAATTCAGCTCTTTCTTCTATATTTGAACCAAGGTTGTAATGAGGTCAGGAGATGGGTGGCCCTGGTGGGACACAAACTGGGCATCACTGAGCAGGTCATTACTGAGAAGGTGCTGCTTGATAACACTGTTGGTAACACCTTCCATCACTTTATTGATGATCGTGAGTAGACTGATGGGGCAGTAATTGGCAGGGTTGGATTTGTCCTCCTTTTTGTATACAGGGCATACCTGGGTAATTTTCCTCAACGTCGGGTAGATGCGAATGTTGCAAGTGTACTGGAATGACTTGGCTAGGGGAGTGGCAAGTTCTGGAGCATATGTTTTCAGTACTGTTGCTGGAATGTTGTCAGGGCTCATAGACTTTGCAGTACCCATTACCTCCAACTGTTTCTTGATATCATGTGCAGTGAATCAAATTGGATGAAGACTGGCATCTGCAATGCTGGGGATCACTAGAGGAGGCCAATATGGATCATCCACTCAGCAGTTCTGGCTGAAGATTGCTGAGAATGCTTCACCCTTATCTTTTGCACTGATGTGCTGGGCTCTTCCATCATTGAGGATGGGAATAATTGTGGAGTCTCCTCCTCCAGTGAATTGACTAATTATGCATCACTATTGATGACTGGATGTGGTAGGACTGCAGAGCTTAGAAATAATCCTTTGGTTGTGGGATCACTTAGCTCTGTCTATCACTTTCTGCTTATGCTATTTGGCACACAAGTAGTCCTGTTTGGTGGCTTCACCAGGTTGATACCTCATCTTCAGGTATGCCTGGTGCTGCTCCTGGCATACCCTCCTGCGCTCTCCATTGAACCAGGGTTGATTCCCCTGGCTTGATAGTAATGGTTGAGTGAGGGATATGCCGGGCCATGAGGTTACAGATTGTGCTGGAGTACAATTCTGCTGCTGTTGATGGCCCACAGCCCCTCATAGATGATCAGTCTTGAGTTGCTAGATCTGTTTGAAGTCTGTCCCATTTAGCATGGTGGTAGTGTCATGCAACATGATGGAGGGTATTCTTAATGTGAAGGTGAGACTTGGTCTTCACTCGGATTGCGTGGTGGTTGGTCACTCTTACTATCATGGACAGATCTGTGGGCATATTAGTAAGAATGAGGTCAAGTATGTTTTCTCCTCATTTTGGTGCTAGGTCAAAACTGAGTCCTGCTTCAATCTTTTGATTCAAAGGCAGGAGAGACAAGCTTGATGAGGCACAGCTAACTAGTTGGAGATTATACTGTATATGAGGAGGGACCACTGGCTCAGTTTCTGTACCTCTTAGACAGACTTGAGACCCTGGCAGCCTCATATCTTCTGATACAAAGTGAAGACCCTTGCTTTAAATAAATTAGCCTTGAGGCTACGGGAGGCACAGACAGATCCCATCAGATAAATTTGGTGAAGTGTGAATGGGTTGTGTTAGATCTCGCAGTGCCAGGGAGTTGGTTTCAGTTGGCAGACGATGATAATGTTTGGACCCCTCAAAATAAACCCGTGACTCTGCAAAGTCAGATTGCCTGGGCTTGGAACCTGGTTTGATGATTTACGTGGCATGCTCTGAATACATGTTTTGCAATGTGAGAATGTCTGACAGATAGCAGCTACAACAATATTTACACGCTACACCTGGACTCCAAGGACAAAGGCAGCACAGCTGGGCTGCATCTCCCGACTGGAGGAAGGTCGGCACTTTGGAACAGTTTAGGACATGGGATTCACTCCAGACTGTTTGAGCCTCCAGAACAAGAACGTGAAGATCCCTCGGCCAGGGAACCACGCAGTGACCCACACAGGGACCCACACAGTATAGAGTCATACAGCATTGGAAACAGACCCTTCGGTCCAACTAGTCCATGCTGACCATAATCCCAAACTAAAATAGCCCCAGCTTGACCCATATCCCTCCAAACATTTATTTATTCATGTACTTATCCAAATGTCTTTTAAACATTGTAACTGTACCTCCATCCATCACTTCCTCTGGAAGTTCACTCCACATGCGAACCACCTTCTTTGTAAAAAAAAAATGCCCCTCATATCTTTTTAAAATCTTTCTCCTCTCACCTTAAAAATATACCCCCCAGTTCTGAAATTCCCCATCCTAGGGAAAAGACACTCCTCATTATTTTGTAAACTTCCATAAGGTCACCTCTCAACCTCCTACGCTCCAGTGAAAAAAGTCCCAGCCTATCTAGCCTTTCTTTATAACTCAAACCCTCCATACCAACAACATCCTGGTAAAATGTCTTCTGACCCACTCTGGCTTAATAATATCCTTCCTATGTGACCAGAACAGTA